AGAATAGAATAGAATAGAATAGAATAGAATAGAATAGAATAGAATAGAATAGAATAGAATAGAATAGAATGGCATCGCTACAAAATGGGAAGATTGTGTTTAAGAAACTCTGCCATAACAGGCAGCACAGATTTCAGAAGCCCAAGTACCTTCCTTCTTACTTCAAAACCTTCCAACATTCTTCACAAACTTCATGTTGAAAAAGCAGGAATAAAAGATGCATCTCACATAAAATTGTGGGATTATTGATAGACCTTGAAGCTGGACTCATCTTTTAGCAGAAGCCAGGAGGCCATGCAGGTGAGTTTATACATCTCATGATCCTTCTGTCTCTGTCTCAGTAAAGCTACCACAACTGGTGAAACTGTATTGGAAGCAGGGACCCAAGAGCCTGTTTTCTGATACTGTTCTATGTGTTTCTAGTTTTTAAATTTCTGCAGCATTTTTAGTAAACTTGAATACAAGAGTTAGAAGTCTTTGACTTGCCTTGGCAGCTCATAGTAAACAGTGTGCTGACATCTGAGAATCTGCCCTCTGTGCTGTTTCCCACTTTCCTTTTGGGCTTCAGGTCAGGCTCCAACTCCTCACATATGTGTGCAGGGGACAGTTACCCTAGCTCAGAAAGACACTATTCCTAGGTCCTCCATACATATAAAAGGTGCTTTCATTTAACAACACAACTGAGAGCAAAACACACTAAGGTGGGACTTGCCCTTCCATGAATCTATTCTCCAGTATTTTTATTTACTTTTCTTTATGTGTACAAATGTTTGCCTGCACGTATAAATATATGTGTGCCATGTGTGTCTGCTGTCAGAGTGGATATTTGATCCCATGAAACTGGAATTAAGGACAGTTGTGAGCTGCCATGTAGATGCTAGGAAAGAAACCTAGGTCCTCAGCAAGAATAGCAAGCACTCTTCACCTCTAAGCCATACATCCAGGCCCGCCCTAATATTTTTAATTTAAGTATAACAACAGTATTTTCCCTGCTTCACCTCAAGGTTTATATGAGTAAATGTTATTTAGACAGTTGATACATTTACATATGTCAATGACCAATATGGCAGGATGCCATTACTGCACAGGATAGAATTGTTTGTGAGGATCCAAAATATGGGTGTCCATAATTGTTCACTAAGGTGGTATAATTCTTCACTAATCACACAACAGTCCCTCTGGGGACTGGTTGCCCCAGCACGAAGGCTTGGGTTTTATGTATCCTTTACTATCATTTATATTTTAAACTATGAGCACATACAAGTTTTTTAAAAAACTAGTTACACATTTTAAAAGAAGCAGCTGTCTGTGCATCAATCCAAAGTGCAGTGCAGAACTATGTGCCGACCCAAAACATCTTACATTTAAAATGACTGAAAACCTGGAGCTTTTGTGTACAGAGAAGATGCCATAAACCTAAGACTTTATAACTGAATTCACGTGACTGGGCACAAGTAAAACACAGGTGTGCTAATAAACAGTGTACAAGATTAGCTTTAGGGACACACACACACACACACACACACACACACACACAAACACAGAGTATATGGAATGTGAAGCATAAACAAATGATTTTCATATTGAGACTTCATTTTATCCCTGAGAGATATAATTGTGCACATGCAAATATTTCAAAAACCAAAAATAATCTGAAAGAATACTTGACACAGGGTCTGACTATGTAGCCCTGGCTGGCCTGTCACTGATCACGTAGCCAATGGTAGCTCTGCACTTATGCCAGCAACTCTCTTTTGCCCCCTGGGTGTAGGATTACCGCCAAGTGTCACTCTGTCCAGGTATAATGTAAAAATTGAAACACTTCTGCTCGGAAGCATTTTATGAATGAGTGCTCAGCCTAGACTAGGGAGCCTTGGGCAGAAGCAGTTAGGAGTCACTAGTACAACCAGACGCCCTGTCTTTTTTTTTTTTTTTTAAAATCTTATGTATGAGTCCACTGTCGCTGTCTTCAGACACACCAGAAGAGGGCATCAGACTCCATTATAGATGGTTGTGAGCCACCATGTGGTTTCTGGGAATTGAACTCAGGACCTTTGGAAGAGCAGACAGCACTCTTTACTGCTGAGCCATCTCTCCAGCCCCCAGATACCCTATCTTATATTGGATTTCTGTTGTGGTGACAAAACATTGACCAAAAACAATTTTTGTGGGGGAGAGGTGTATTTTATCTTCCAACTCTGGAGTCATGATCCACCATCGATGGAGGTCAGGGAAGGAATCTGAAGGAAAGGCTGATGCAGAGGACACAGACGAACACTGCTTATTGGCTTGATCCCTATGGATTGTTCAGCTTGCTCTTTTATACAGCCCAGGACCACCTGTCCACAGATGGCATCACCCACAGCAGCCTGGGCCCTCCACATCAAGTATTAATCAGGAAAATGCCCAGAGGTGTGCCTACACTACAGGCCAATCTGATAAAGGCATTTTCTTAATTGCGTGTCCCTCTTCCCAGATGTGGTGGTCTGAGTGAGAACATCCTCCAGAGGCTTAGATGCTTGAATACTTGTTCCACAGTTGGTAGCACTGTTTTAGGAAGTTGGCATTGCTGGAGAAAGTGTGTCACTGGGGAAAAGCTTTGAGATTTAAAAGTCACAGGCCATTCTCAGTCCCTCCCCAACCCCAACTCGATTTCTGCTTGTGGCTCAAGATGTAAGCTTCCAGATCCAGCAGCCATGTCTGTGCTGTCATCACAGACTCTTATCCCTCTGGAGCCTGAAGCCCAAGTAAACTCTTTTTCAGTAAGCTGTCCTGGTCATAGTGCTTTATCACAGCAAGAGAAAAGTAACTAAAGTAACATAGTAGATCACTCTAGAGTATGTCAAGCTGACAAAAAACTAACCAGCACACACCAAGGTACCTGCGCATGAAGAGGAGGCTGCACTGGGCAGTGACTTAAGTTTTTGTTGTTGTTTGTTTGTTTGTTGTTTGTTTTTGACAGGGTCTCAATGTGTACCTCTTGCTGCCTGGAACTTGGTATTCGATAAGCCTGGCTTTGAACTCACGGATATACTTGTCTCTGCCTCCTAAGAGCTGGAGTTAAAGGAGACGTGCACCAGCATGCCCAGCCTTATGGTTTTCTCTTGTGAAGTGAGAGTGCACAAGGTGAAGCATCACACAAATGCAAGAGACTTGTAAGTGTGCCTTGTAAGTGTGCCTTGTAAGTGTGCCTTGCAAGTGGGGAACCAACCAAGTCTAAAATAACCATCAATAGTCTTTAATAAGAAACATCAAAACTTGTCTACCTAAGTAGTCGGTAAATCTTTGGGCTCATGAAGCTGAGATTCATCCATTTGAAGAAGGCATCTGTTTACAAACGCCACATTGCTACATCCTTTGGATTTGCCACCCATGTTTTAGGCCCCAGGCTCAAATTTTCCACCCCATATGATAACAACTGCAACTATAAACCTGTTGTTTTTCCTGTCTAGAAAAAAAAAAAGATTGACTGGAGAACATCTGCAGCCAGAGGAAGTGTGGGAAATGTTCAAAGGACTGAGCAAACCTGTCACTCACTTCTTCAGATAATTCTGAATTGTTTCTATCTCTATTATGTCTTAAAGGTGCTAGGCCTGGAATCAACCAAAAATGTGCAATTAAATCAATTGCTCCCCTGTACCTGTGTCTACTGCTGTTCAGTGTGGGCCAATCAGCTGATCCCCTTAGCACTGCTCTCGGATGCCTGGGTGTAACACTAGTCCTCATGTGACTCCAGCTACTCCCACTAGCCTGCAGAAACATGTCCTAGCTTAGGATGGATGCAGTGCCCAATTTGGCTCCTATAGAAACTGGCTTGTATCAAGAGTTCTTACTGCCTCCCTTTTCCTTGGGAAGTTGGTAACTCTAACAGTATCATGGCCACAAAGCAACCCCTACCTGTAGATGTTAGAGGAGAAAGGCAGCACTTTCTACTCACTGAGCACCAAGCTGAAAAACTCTGAGCTTCTCAAATAGTCTGTATGGGATCATGTAACTGTACATAGCAGTGGGTAGGAACAATTTAATGCAACTACTAAAAATCAACTCAAAATCAAATGGGTAATGATTCTGAGATGGTTCTGGGAGTGTTCACCATAATGCTCCAAGCGACATCTCTGCATCCTTGCCTCTGAGTACACATGTGCACACAGTACTGCATGTCACCACAGCATACAACCCCAACCAATGTGCCCAGCACCTCAGCTCAGATTCAAGACTACTGTATATTATGGTCTGCAGTCAAAGTTTTCTGTTCTCATAGAGTGATTTAATTATGGAAAACAAAAACTTTTAACGTTTCTTACTATCATTCTTGTACGTACCAAATTAGTGTATCTTTGAGTTGTATTGTATTAAAATGTTTGGTTTTTAAAAAGTGCAACTTGATTGCTAACTTGAGTTTCATTAAAAAAAAATCATTAAATGAATCTCACACTAGGATTTTAGCAGAGTTTCTATCAGTTTTGAAATGTCCCTAAGTATGCATTTGCTGTACTGTATATTCATCTGAAGCAGCATTCTCAGCA